ACAAAACTGGAAAAATATTAGTTGATTTCTAAATTTAGAGTCTCTATTGATTAAAGAGGTTTGTTTTTGATTAAAAACGTTGGTGTTATAACAGAAAATACCATAATTCAGAAACGATTTAAGTTTAAAACTGCAGAGGGGCAATCACTCAAGGTTGTTGGTCTCAAACTGCAAAGCCCATGCTTTTTCTCATGGCCAGCTTTATGTTGGGTTTTCCAGGGTTGGTGTTAGTAAGAACCTTTTCATCTTGGCAGCAGATGGGAAAACAACCAATATATCAACCTAACAACCCGAGCACACACATCTTTTTAATGACGGAAGTTAGCAAAAAAACCACATACAAAAGAAATGGTTCCTTATATAACAACATCTAATATATTGAAAAGTCAACCTAATATTGTTGTTAGTGTATGTAATGAAAATATAAAATGCTTAGGTACAATATTAATAACAAATGGGATAATTTTTCTTTATTTTGTTTTTTGTCTTTGTTATTGGTGCAATTACTTTCTTTCAATAATTTGGTTTTGCTTTTTACATTTATTCATCACTGTTATATAGTGCTGAATTTTCACTTATGTACTTTTGATGTGGATAAAATAATTTGACTATTTTCATTAACATACATAAACATGTATAATGCAATTGTTGAAATGTGATAAGATGTACATTAAATGTGATGTAATTATATGTATTGCTCACTGTTTGTCAATAACCTCTGTAAATGTGCTGTGAATTATGCTTTGTAAAGAAAATTAGCATCTTATATATGATTGTGGCAAGTTAGTTTTTAGACAAACGAAACATATCAATTTGTCACTTTAAAAATAAAAGTTTACATATTGTTATTAAATCAATCTTCTGAAGATGCATAGTAATTACTTACATACTAACAAGCATTTATACTTACAAGGGAACCATATTTAAAAATCAGTAGAATTTCTATTCCTGGAAAAAAAATATACACATTGTTATACTTATGTAAATTAACAGTTTAATCAGAGCTGGTGGTCAGTGATGTGCTGTTTAAGAATTTTATGCTGTTGGTATTTTTTATCAATTATGCTTAATAATTTTTGTAATGAAGTTTTAAAAATAGATTTATGGCTCCATCTATAAACATATATCTTTTAAACTCTAATTTTACAACTTATTATATTCATTATTGAAAAACATGCTTAGGTACAATATTAATAACAATAATAAAAGTTATCTGCTATTAAAGTATTAGTAATGATTATGGCCATACTACTACCACAGGTGGTGTATACAACAATGTGAAGACGTGAATTAATAAGAAGGAGCCAAATGCACAGTGCATAAACTGTGCTGTGTATAACTTGAACCTTGCAATTGATAATGCTGTTAAAAGCATTAAAAAGTGAGCACTACTTTTCTGTTGCTTCCGGAACTTCATGCTTCTTGACCAAAACATTAACCAAAGAGATAAGTTATTAGTACTTATAAGCAACTACTATAAAGAGCATTTCTCAACCTTTTTGATACCAGGGACTGACTCGCTGTTTCCCTAAACTGTTGTGGACCATTAAAATACAAGTACAATAAAAATGCATTACAATTTACATAAGCATATTCTTTCAATTTCTGTGAAATCCCACTGACCAGCAAAGTAGTTGTGATGGTCCACAAACTGATGGTTGAGAAACACTGCTATAAAGTAATTGAGACCCACAAAATGTGCTGGTCAACTCATTTGCTGGATGGGTGTGAAATTATTAAGTTACACTAAGTGCATGGGCATCATGAAAACTTCCACTAAAATTACCCTTGACAATAAGTAGGATAAACAAGATAAAGCAATTCTTTTAAACACAAAAATGGAAAAATGTAAGTTTGTGATTCTAACAAAGATTCTTGGTGCAGTAAATATGGTTTCTAAACTTTTGCAGAGCTTATGAAAGTCATACACCATTTATAAAATGCATCAGGAATTGTATTTTAGTATCAACATCAGTTCACCGGAACCAAGGAATATCCTATGGCTCTCACTCAAAAATGGAGTATTAAATCAATGTTAGAAAATTAGTACTTGGGTCTAGTAAAATATCATTTTGATTGAGTCTTATTAAAACTGAAGCTTGAGGGGTCCACTAAATTGCTTCAATTTAATAGAAAGCTACTTAACACAAGACTTAACTTGTGTTGATACATTCAGACCTATAACAGGTACTGCATTGCTGTAGGAAGCAATTTTTGAGTAGTCGGGTCATTACTACATTGCCATTTTTAGGGGGGGGGGTCTGGGAGCAAGTTGCCCCAGAAAATGTTTGAACATTTAATGCTATGAGATTGAATCTTGAGCCATTTTAACTACAAATACTGCATACACACAACATAATGTATGGAACTGAAAGAAGCAAGTTTTAAAACATAAGTTGTAGCTATAAATGCCATGAAAAAGTGGTCAGGCAATGAATGGTCTAACTGGCCTTACCGCTTCTTCCCGCCCTGTATTCTAGTTACAAATATCATTGATTAACAGTAGTAGATTATCTTTTAAGAAACATGCTAAGAATAATAAGAAAAGTAAATGGTTTTGATACCAAAAGGATCTGCATCCATCAGAGCCAAAATTGGGATTTCCATATCTGTCCAAAGCTTATGTAACAGTTCTCTCGTATTAATATCAGGGAAACCTTTACCCTATTGCATGACAGTAAAGAATTTAAATAATAAATGTCTTTTACATTTAATAATAAAGACATTTTATTATTGTAGTGCATGATAAAATATTAATGTTTTATAATATCTACAAATATAGATTTTTACTGTTCATTATTAAAATGCTGTGAAAATTTTATGTAGTCAAACATCTATTCATCCAATTAGAATATGAAATAGTGATAAAATTACAAAAATATAATTTGCTTAAAGTATTAAGATAATTTATTTTCATATTGCTGTATTGTGTCTAGACATTATTTCGGTCTTAAAAAACTTGATGATATTCCATCTTATAGATTACAGTTCAAAGTAGTAATAACAATGATGAAATCAACCTGCTGGTTCAAAGTAATCCAATTAACACAAACTTTATATTGTATGTAATATTATGATAATTATTTACTTTAGTTTCAACTATATACAGTTAACAGGCTTTAAATCTGTTAAATAAGCAATACCAAAGCATTTTATTTAACATGCATTTTATATAACATTAGTTTTTATGTTCCTAAATAATAAAACCATGCAAGCTTCATTATTTTTAATCATAGATATAAAAATAAACATAGCAACAGAGTATTATAAAACTTCTTTAACACAATTTTTTAAGCACTCAAATCTGGTAAAATGTAAAAATCTAGTATGTTTATGCATGTGTAATGCTCTTGTTATACTTTCATTAAGACAATTTTAAGTTACCATGTTTTTAAGTTAGTTTAGGCATATATTTGTTTTTTCAGTCATAATATTTTAAAGTGTGAAATAAAAGATGAAGCTAAATTATGGTTACATAACAAACATTATGACCAGCTAAACACAATAGCTTTAAGGTATAACAGTCTTTATAACTCCACATGGCTCAGCCAAAAGATTACATACTAATACATATATCTAGAGGAAGCTAGGTTTCCTTATGACACATGCAAAATGCATTTTAATTTAGTTCTTGTTCTGAGTATGCCTTTGTATTTGGTTAATTCTAGACAGGGCACTGTTATATGTTTAGGAAACAGTTATTAATATACTGCATGTAAAAGGGAATTTCAAGTTTGTTGATTTAAAAATCTATTGTATAACAGGTGTTAAAACGTTATTAACAATATGTCTCAGTTCCCTTGAAGTGTTTGAGATGTTTGTATCTTTCATAGTGATTCCTTGATTTGAGATTCACAAAGGAAGAATTAATACGAAAAAGGTATCTACAGTCTAGTGTGAATTTTGATGATAAACATTACCCCTGTTGGTTTTTAAATATGCTTACCAAGCTTTTGGTATTCAACACTGTAACTGTACTCTATTGTACAGGCTTAAAGAAATATGCAAAAGTGAAACACTGAACAATAATTATATATTTGTTACAAATAATTTTTTGACAAAATTATAATATCAGCTCTCCATCATGCAGTATATTAACTTCACTTTGAAGGGTGAAATTCAATATGTTGTATGATACATGTTGCTGCAACATTGATACACTTATCAAATAGCATAAATCATGTCTATATTAAATTAGTATTTTTTTCAAGTAACTGTGGTTTCATAATAATTCATGCTTATCAACTAAGGAATGTTATGTAGAAATAAAAACTGTTATTTACATATTTTCCTATAAAATTAATTATAATTAATAAAACAAAAATAGCAACAACAAAAATTCTACAGAAATATCATCAGTTTATGCCAAACACGAGTTTTAAGAAAATATATTGTACTTATACATTGTATATATTATTTACTTACAGTGATCAAAATGGATGGATAAAAATTTCTTGTAAACCCATCATCCAGAAGTTTTTGAAATGTGGCATCCTTTTCAATAAGCAGTACAAACTTAGCCTCAGTACAAAGACCTAAAGTTATTTGAGGTTTTTAAAACACAACTTTTCAGATACACTTATTTTTACCTTTAATGAACTTTAATTGCACAAAATATATACTCATCATAAAAGCTCAAATGGAAGTAACAGCTGGTATATTTTTTACACATTTAAATAACTGTAATTCATAAAAGAATGTACCTTACTAAACTTTGAAATATCTAAAGGATACATTCTATGCCTTGGACATCACTTGGAACTAGAACTCCCTAATATAAAATACAAAATGTTATGTATCAATTTACTTGGTTCAACTTAAACAAAAAATTGTTGTGAAAAACCTAAGGTTATTCTATTAAATACAATGAGTGATCAACATATCAGTGACTGTATATGAAAGTAAACTTATTTTACTTAGCACAAAATCTGCAGGTCAGGGAGACATGTTTGGTAGGCTGATTCCCTAACAAAGATTTCTGGTATTCTCTTTTAACTTTTTGAAATTATGAATAGTGGTTTGAAATCCTCACAATAGCTGGAATATGAATTGCCCACTAGTATGGCTGAAGTTGCACTAATTTTCAGGCTATGAGGGCCTGAAAACATCCTGCTACCTTTTAGTAGACTTGAAACCATCCCAGTACTTCTACAGTTGCTCAGGACTATGTCAAACGTCTCACCTTCTGCTTCTTCTCCCTTTCAAACAGTATAGGCAGCAAGATGGGACACAAAGTGACAATGAAACAAGGTGCAATGCGCAGTCACACAAGTTTTTTCCACTCCCATTTTCAGTAAACAGTCTAATTCGCTTATCCACCACCCTGAACAGTAGTCATTATTGTAAGCTTCAAAGAAAGGAAAGGTTCAACAGATAATGCAATAAATATTTATTATGGCAATTTGAAACAAAGCATAAACAGGCCCAGATTTATGCACAGGATGAGTAGATTTTGCAGCAGCTTATCAGAGGTTGATGTGTGCATTAAATCTGTGGATAAACCATGCCATTAAGTCTCATGTTCATCAACTTGGTTTGTCTTCCACTTATACTTTTCGAGCCATGATTGGGAATCAACCACCAACATGTTGAATACACTTTTTGTCCTGCCACTATAGTAAAAATGTGTGTGATTATATGATTATTAACAATTTAGTTAATAAACTATAAAGAGTGGCTATTTCAGGCTAATACTTGTTGGCCTAATCTAAAATTATACACAAACCAATTAGGCTCTCTTTTCTTTTCCAAATTGAATAATTTTACAAACCAGCTCATCACGTTTGTTTCAGCTTCAAGAATTTCACAAACCATCCCTTTTCTTCTTTTATCCCACTTCAAGCACTGCTACTACTAAATCAAAAGCTGTGTTATTTTATAGATATTGCAAGCTGTATCATAAAAATACAATGGTGTACTTACAGAAATGGTAGCAGAACAGTCCACATAATTTCCTTCGGCATCTTTGAATTTTAAGTCACCTGCTATGCATCCTTTAGATGTAGCTAGCTAAGCATTTACAGAAAAATATATCATAAAGAATATTACTAATTTCCGAAAAAAAAAGTTTGAAAAAATGTACTTTGAAATATAAAAAAACTAAATGAAGATACATAACTCCTTTCTACACCAACAGGTTTATTATTGACTTCTGTTTTTAGTCACTTGATTTTTATATTCATATTTTGTACAAAAAGGATTTGTTCTAAAATGATCTCATCTTAGCTACACAACACATAACATTTTTTTCTAAAATAACTTGTTAAAAAGATTAAACCAGGGAATAATATGAAGGTGTGTTACTTCTGTGCAACAACCCTCTTATCACAGCTAAAACAATGCAACTGTATAAAAGACGCAATATGGTATCTTTTGTAATTTACCTTTACCATTAAAAACAGAAATAATGTCTTAACTGTTTGTAAGATTAATCATATAGACAATATACAAGGTGGCACATATGTCAGAACAATCCAAAGTACATACTGGATTTCAATTAACCAACAGTAATATAATAGACTGAATTATTATTCATTTGTGTCTGGTTTTTATAAGGCCAGGTTCTTCAGTAGGTGTTTGTGACATTTTGGCAATAAATTACAACAATAAACAGGTAACACACAATCCACTTGTTTTAAAATAATAAATTCAAAACAAGTTAAACATATGTAGAAAAATTTATTAAACTACTGGTTATCACAATTCTCTCCACAGCTTTAAGTAAATGTCTCTTCTTTTATCCAAGTCCATACAGGCAGGTTTAATTACTTCATAATTTCCTTTGACAAGACAATTTATTCTCCTCTACTCTGTTATTACAATACAAGGCTGTGATACTCATTTTAAAATCACCTGTTATAGCTAAACTCACATGCAGTCTAACTTAACTTTTACTTTCACTGTGACTACCTTAACTAATTTGATGACCTATATGTACATATTATGTGACTGAGATATAGAACTTTCTACAAACTACAAGACATTATGATGTAAGTGATTAAAACAACCAGAAAAATTTAGAAGGCTCAAGTAGCGTGACATCCATTCACAACAACTGAACTATGCAACAAATGATTCATAAACAGTTAAATAAGCAAACCTACAATAAATTACTGCTACTAAAAATACTAAATTTAACACTCGCACTTTATAACTATCTCGATCATAACTCTCGTATTAAGTTTAAGTGAAACAGTCATATATTTCTAACAATTTGCTATAAAGGAGAATTCAATGTCTCATCTTTTGATTATGATTACATTTTTCAATGAAAAATAGCAATAAGCTATGAACAGTGTTTAGGTTGACTGAATAATGGACCATCTATATATCAAACAAAATTGATAATTCCTGATGTTAAGAATGTATTATTGTATATAAAGAAATCCCGAATGCACATATTGAAATGATGCTGCATCAAAACCAATTATTTAAACAAGAAAATAGAAAACAAAGTAATGAAGATATCTCAGTTATTAGACACTACAGGTATAATCTCTTCTTTGCTATATGTATCTCTTCCTTCAGACAACTGAAAGAGATTCATTTTTGCTAAATAAGACATTCTTACTTACTACATGTAGTTCTCGCCGTGGAACTTTAAAAAGGCAAGCTATGTCATCAACCAGGTTATCAATGATGCTTTGTTTTCCATACCAGCTAACATTCTGGTAATAGAGTTCTCTGAAAGATTTTCCAAAATATTTATAAGGTTATTAGGAAGACAAATCTATCTAACTTATTTTGTTAAAAAGAAAATTGTTGAATTGTTACTTAAAAAAAACAAAGTATGACTTATACTAAATTTAAGTCATTGAACATTTCTTAAAGAAAATTAAAGCTTGTTAAAAGAACTACTCTTGCTCAGGGTATAATGTACAATTTGTTTGTTTTTTACTATTTTATTATCAGGATTTTCTCAAATACATATTATCAATATGTAATGAACTAGCTGATCTTATAGTTTTTGTGCACATATTAAAACACTTTGATATTACCTACACTGTATATCCTACCTACATTAGATAAAATATATACAAAAGCACAAGCTAATTTTGTCTCTTTAGTTTTACACTTAGAAAGTTCCATCATAACTTTGTGTAGATATTGTGTTATTTGAAGCTCATAAGTTTTTAATTAGAAAGTTCCATCATAACTTTGTGTAGATATTGTGTTATTTGAAGCTCATAAGTTTTTTAATTAGAAAGTTCCATCATAACTTTGTGTAGATATTGTGTTATTTGAAGCTCATTAGTTTTTAATTAGAAAGTTCCATCATAACTTTGTGTAGATATTGTGTTATTTGAAGCTCATTAGTTTTTGTAATTCTTATAACTAATTATTACATATACATTTAAAATAATGAATAAAGATTTTTTGCAAATATATTTATATTTTCTTCATCAGATGTACAAACCTTTTAGTACAAAATTTATTTGTCTGTATCAAGCAATATATCTTGCTAAGAAGATCGCAGATGATTCCTAGACCATGGTAAAAAAATCATAAATTTGGTATTCTAATTCTTATGTTTACTTTTTTATTTTATCAAAACCAATCAGTATTACATGAAAACAATAACAATTTACAATAAAAAGTACCACAAAAGTAAATTAATGTTTGATCCATGTAATATTAGATCATAGACTCACAGAAATTAACATCAAAAATGCATTCCACACAATTATTTCATTTTGTAAGATCTCCAACTTTCTTGTAAAACCAAATTCATAGAATTCAATAACAGAATTTTCTGCCACAAAGTACCTCATAACTTGAAATTTCCAATTAAGAAAGCTAAAATTATGGTATTTAGCAACCAATGGAAATAAACATATATCTACAATACTGTTATGAAATTACAACTAAGTATTTCTCTACTCTTACATTAAATTCATACTATGATAAACTGGCCAAATGAAGTTTGTAATTTCAACAATGTTAAATGCTGCCAATATGTCAAGAGGGAATGAAATTTATTAACTAATTCTGTAATCACTCCCTATACTGAATAAAAATAACAGTTATGAAGAAACTAATTTGAGATGTTGACTTGCATATTAAATTTAGAGATGAAACCTAAATCTGGCTCAACAGCTGAGTAAATTGATTAGCATCTCAGTACCTTTGATGCTTACATTATGGGTCAGAAACCCAAAAGTATAGATGGAGCAGTAAAGGAGTACCTCAATATATTGCCCAATGATGCCTCAAGAAAAAATCTGTCAACTTACTCTCTTTTTTTAAAAAAGCGACATCTTATAATCAAAATATAAAATGTGTAATCTTGAGCTGTGAGATTGCAGTGAAATACATGCAAGCTTTGGATAAATGAGTAAATTTTCATGGAAAAATACATATGGTACTTAAAGTAAGAATTTCTATTTCCAGAATAATGTATTTAAATGATCTTCTGACTAAAATTTTTATGTCTTTAGTTTGAATTTAAATAGAAGTGAACCAATATTAACATTGTCAACATTGCAATGTGGGTATTGATAAAAGAAAATGCAATAACCAATAGCTATTATAATTTTATAAATATTAATGACTCCATACATTTTGATAAACTGACCAGACTATGCTTTCTTATAAGAAACTGCTTTAATGGTTTTTACATAAATTGTGAAATGAAAAAAAATATATGCAAAAATAATATATCCATCACTGTAAGTATTTTTTATAAAACTCAAAATGACCAAGTACTTTCAAACTCTCACATTAAATGTTTACCAGCTGTCACTCATACTAATACAGATATTAAAATGTGATATAGCTTCTTTCTATACTTAGTCATATTAACTATTCATAATGATCTTATACCTTAACTGATACAAGACTGATGCATTATGGTACAGTATCAGTTACTTATTCTTTTAGGTATGTATATCTATCTATCTATATATATATATATATATGTGTGTGTGTGTGTGTGTGTGTGTGTGTGTGTATGTATCTATTATGGTGTGTGCATCCATCATTTATACCATAAACTGGTCATTTTCTGGCCTCTTCCAAAATGCTTGGATAATACCTTTGATATTAATTATTAATGGATTATAACAAACAAATTAAAAAAATGTAACCTTCACAATCTATTCAATACAGAAGTGTACAGCAAAAACAAAACTACGTACTTGGGAAAAATTCCATTTTTCTTCCACTTGTATTAATTATGCATACCACCATAAGTATGATAACCAGTGTTTGACTAATGAGTGAGGATATCAATTATATATATATATATATATATATAATATTCATCATTAATCACATACTGACAGAAAGTACTGCTACTAATAATTGATTAATAATCATTCATTAGTTGGTTATGCATAACTGTCAGGAAACTTACTTTTTAGTTTGTATATATAGTAAGTATATGTATTTATATGGGTGTGTTGAGCTAAGGATTCTTGTACAATACGTGTCTGTGACTTGTTGGCAAAAAAAAACAAAAAAACGAACCACACACACACACACACTCCACTTGTTTTTTCAAATAATATGTTAAAAACAAGTTAAATGTATGTACAAAAATTCTTGCCCTATATATAGCATAGTTGTATTTTAAATACTATACAATTCTCTTCTTCTTGTCAAAAGTCCACTTAGGCCTATTCAATTGCTTTAGAATTCAGTTGACAAGCCGAACTATTTTTATCTTAAATACTATCACAGTGTATAATTCACTTATTCCTTTTATTCTCTCTCTCTTTCTTTTTTTTTTTTTATCACAACAGTATTGGTGTATAATTCATTTATGCTGTCATTGAGTTATCGCAGTTGTATCCTGAACTTCAGATACTTATCTGCTTTTCGCATATAGGCCTACTTCCAAATAATAAGTCCACATAGATAGGTTCAATTGCTTTAGAACACCCTTTGATGAGACAGATTATTCTTCTAAAATGTCAGGAAACTATTAATCTCACTTTAACATATCAACTGTTAGGCTATTCACTCCTATGATGGTTAACTTTATGTTTTCTATCCTTTTTCGGACTGAAACTCTCTTTCACTCACTTTACTTGTGGTTCTCTTTCTACTCTCTAGTCTCTCATTCGCTCTGTCTGTCTGCTGTTCCCACTTGTCTCACACTATTCATATATTTATCACTTAATTATCTGCTCGCCTCCTATAAATCTCTATATCCTTGACATCAGTACATTTCAAGCAACATTCCATAGCCTCAACATCAGTGAATTATAAAACAACTTCTAATACTCCTCTGCTTTTAACTCACTTATTATAAAAAAAACAACTAAACAATCATAAAATATTCACTCAAAATAAAAATTAATAATACCTTTAATATCATGACAGTAACAAATCATCAAACATGATTTTTTTAACCATGCAATTCTCCCCACTAGGATGTATTTATATTTGCAGTTATATATGCTTTACAATTGAAAACAACTGATCAATTTTTATATTATACTTTTTTTGTACACAGAGACATAATTTAGACTCTATTTTACAAGTAATACAGGTAAATACTAAAGATCAGGCAATATTAAGCATCCCAAAATGATTAGTCTTTTTCATGCTGCATTAATGTATCAAGATACAGATATTAAAATTAAATTTAACTTCAATGAAAAGACTTTCGTATCTTGTAATTATCACTGATCTGAGCCAAAACAAGATGAAAACATTCTTCACTAGCAACCTTCACAGAGGCAATGAGTTCTTTATGTTTAAAATAAAATAAACTTTTGAATTCTTTTATATATATATATATTTTTTTTTTCTGATACATTCAGTTCAGTTCAGTGTATTGAAGTGGAAATAATTTTGCAGCTACAGTTCAACTCATTACTTACCATAACAGCCCAATGTCCTAAGAACTAAAGCAGTCAAGTTTCTGTTTCAACTGACTGGTGCCTCAGTGTTTTGATGTGCATACAAGATTTATTTTTGCCAGTTTAAAAACTAAATGAAAGACAATTATCAGATATATTTAGCTAATTATTTTATCGTTAAAATTATGTTAATGGTCAATTTAATCAATGGAATGATATAAGAATCAAAATAAACAAAGTACATAATATACTACTTATAAACTAAATACCATATTTATTTTAGATAGCATGTAAAAATTACCATTAACTCTCATTGCATGCTACGAATATTTATTCTTCTCATTTTAATTTTATCAAACTTTCATTACTTTGATTAATTAAACAACACTGTTTGAGTTGCATTCAAATCTGTGTTTGTAACAGCACAAACATAACACAACAGGACCTGTACAAAGTAAATGTGAAGTTTTACATACCTCATAAGTAATATAATAATAATAAGGTATACCACTGCTAAGGATAGTTAGGTTTGTACAATCTTAAAATCATTCTTATTCCAATTTTTCCTAAATATTAATTTCCAAAACTTTTAATTCCATAAAAGGTATGAAATACATACCAAATTTTTTCAGAGATGTTTTATTTCCAAAGGACACAGAAGAAGTGACTGAAGAACCATTCATCTGTAAACCTACACTGGGATCAAACCTTGGCATAAAAAAGACAACAAAATAATATTACAAATATACACAATACTTAAAAATTTATATCATAATACAGTAATAATATAAAATTTTCTTAAATAACTTTCAAAAAATTACAATCATAAAATAATTTTCTAGAATGACCTGATTTTTGATCTCTTAATTATACCAAAGTTGCTCCTCAAAGAGCTGAACTGGGTTTTAATATTCTTCAACAAAAAGACATGGCATTATTAACTTTCAAATATATAATTTCCTATCATCATCACAGAAAGAAATTCAATATTTGTCTCTACATTTTGTAATTTTAAATGTATCTACACATGTATTAACACATTTTGTGAATTAAAATTAACAGAAAACTTTCATGTCAATTTCTAAACAAGAAGTTCATATTAGTGACTATTCATGCACCATAATCAGTTTATAAACTTAAAATATTAATAAAATTGATACACCTTTTAAACCATAATTATCTATTATTCCAAAAAAAGGATATTTTGATATATGTTCTTGGGGTCATCTGCCTGCCCCCCCCCCCCAAACAACAACAACATAACATGTAGCAAAATATTCTTGCTTTGCAGTAATGAATAATTGTGTTTTAAAAGATGTATCAATTTTATTTATTAATTGCCACAAGATACATGAATAAACCAATTAAACTTCAAATACTATGTACAAGCATATGGGACAAGTATTTTAGGTTTTTCTAGAAACTGTGCATAAAGAATATCTAAATACCAATAATTCATTCACAAAAACATATATATGTATGTTTCCATACATCTCATAATTTTAAAGTTTGGATTTATAGTCAAATTTTTATTAAGAAATTATATTAAACTGTATAATGTGATAACAAATTTCCATGTGTATTTTGTTTTAAGTCTTCCTGAGCAACAAGTTCAGGTGAACTGAGTCAGTGATTATTTCTTTTTTAATGTCTGAGAAGAAAAATGTACTAGTTATACAGCTCAAGGTGGCAGAACTAGCTTTGCTAAACAACAGCTATTACCAGCCAGTAGATTGGGAAGGTAACTACAGACAGTTACGAAATGATTTCAATGGGAGCCAGAGGCAATCTGTTGAAAGCTATTAGTGTATTTGATGATGTTTTAATGGAGCTAAATGTATATGGCAGTTTAAATGAATACATGTGAATGGGACCACACACATGTGTAGGAACATTACACAAGGTTATTCAGGAGTGTGTATTACATGAATGAATCAATTACATAATTATTAAGTCACATGTGTAAGGGAACAAATGATTTAATCTGGATATTAAAACTTTGTAATATGAAGTTAACTATTATTACTCACTTGTAAAGTATTGTTGAAGACACTGTGTCCCTGTTATTTTCATTAATATTTAAGACTTTGAAATATTTGATAGGTAGACAATGTTCACATAAAGATAAAAGTCAAAGACAGATTAATGCTATGTCTGAGAAAAAACACAGTTTTTTACCTGTCATTCATCAATAAAAGTTGTTCAAGATATTTTGTTTTGAATTGAAATGTTTGAGTGGGTGAAATTATTAGCAGTATACAAAATTCTCAAGCAGTAGCTTAAATATTATACTAAATACAAGCTTGGGGTAACCAGCATTATATTTGGTTGTGACAGAATATTTTCAATAATGCAGATTGAAATACTGAAAAAGTATGCAGTTTTCTAAATATTATCTTAATATTATTTCAGTAAAAGAAGCAGTATAAGGTGCATGGAAATGCAGGTTGAAGAGTACTACGGAGAGGTGAAAAGTAACACCTACATGGTGGAAAAAGGTCCTTAAGGAAATATAGTAAAAATGTTAATGGATCCTAACAGTCCAAAGTAAAGGTTGGCAATGCTTAATGAGAGCCAATGTAGATGTGTAGCATCCAGTTTTAAAGCAAGTATGCTGACAATTGTCACATGAATGGCAACAGAGGGCAGCATGACTAAAGTAATAAATTTTCCTACACTGAAAATGTATATCCCATAGGTACTTACCTCTCCTCACAAGATTTGCTATTCTCGTTCAGTACTGCCCTCTATATGCAAACTTTTTCTTTATGCATGCCACAATCCTTCAACTCCCCCCTATTGGAACTACAAGATTCAAACATGTCTTTCATGCAAAGCATCATGCATCACCTCCTCACCAATAAGAGCATGCAATTCTCACATGATGCATGTGACTCCCTCTACACTCCTTTACCAGCAGAAGTTTGGCAGAAGATGACAGCACCAGGGATTTGTGGGGAGGAAGTGTGGGAAGTTTGAGCAGAGGGAAGTACCTATCAGAAATACATTTTCAGGATATGAAAATTATAACTTCTGAGATGGTACTTACCTCCACTTACCACCAATGATATAAGTACCCCCCAAAAGCATCAGAAGCATACCCCTGGAAATGAGAGATTCAGATCAGAAGAGAGGAACCCCACCACTTCTGAGCCAGGTATGCTCTTCACCCAGCTGTGGAATGTGTAAGATATAAAGGCAGAAAATGTGAAAAACAAATCTGAGTGGGAGTGAATGTGGGAGGAATGTGATCCTAACCAGTGAAATATACTCAATCCCATAATGAGCAAGGTGAGGAAACAAAGGATGTGCCCCTAGGTGTAAAGTGGGTAGGGTGCATGGGAC